AGAGAGAGAGAGAGAGAGAGAGAGAGAGAGAGAGAGAGAGAGAGAGAGAGAGGGAGAGAGAGATTGAGAGAGATTTCTAGACTTCCAGGTGACAAGAGATAACTCCAGTCTCTAGTTAAAGCAGCTTGTCGTATAAGTGGGGGAGTCATGCTGTATTCAAAAAAGTGAGTGAGTGACTCTAAAATACTCTGTGGATTGAAACTGGCTTTGAATATCAGAGTAAAAGAGTTTAGATTTTGTACTAGGCATCCTACCTCTTTATTGCTCCTCTTCTTCTTCCTCACCTATAGGAGAAAGAAGCCACATTCTTTAATGCTAAATCATGAGATAAATTAGAAGAGAGAAAAGAAATAAGAGACAAGTGTTAGAATGACCAGTTAATAAACTATTATAGCATCCTAGACATAACAGAAAAACATTGTTTAACTTGGGTGATGATATTAGAGATGTAGAGGCATTTTTTTACTAAGTTAAAGGTGTTTTAAAGAGGAAAAATTAAAAGAGAAAAATGAAAAGAAAAGACTGTTAGAACTGGAATAGTAACCATAATCATTATTTTTTTTAAGATTTTATTGGGGAATTGGGGGACGGGAACAGACAAGTTGCTGTCCTTTTGTTCTTCAGTCTAGTTGTGGAGGACATTACTTCACTGGCCTATGTTGGTATTATCATTGCGCTCTTCCCGTGTGAGGCAGTCACTCACTGGCCATTGGACGGCCACTCACGGCTGCTCACCACAGCTCACAAAGTGCACGCCAGCTGCCGACCAGCCCCTCTGCAGCCTACACTGTCAGCTGTCGCCGGCGACTCACAGCAGCCCAGTTTCAGGTTGAGCTGTTATTCACCATCTTAGCTGTAGAGGGTACTCTGTCACTGGCCCTCATATGTGGGATCCGAGCCAGGGCCCTGCTGCTCAGAGCTGGCGTCCCAAGCCAACTCTTAACCAACGCACCACTTGGCCAGCCCCCATAATCATTTTGATGCACACATGTGCAAGGCACTGTGCCAGTTATTTTTTTCTATATTATTCCCCCTTTGAGCTATATTTTAAGACAACGTTATTATTTACATTATACAGATAAGGGAACTGGGACTGAGAGAGATAAATAACTTTTCCAAGGTCATGCAAACAGTGATAGTTGAGCCAGGATTTTAACTCAAATCTGTATGGCTTCAGAGACTACACATTTCAATTATATCATGATACCTTAGAGAGACTCAAACTTACCCACAACCATTTATGAACTCCCAATTACATTCACGGTCCTCAAAGTCATTTTAGGTCTTTAATCAATGGCAGTCCTCTTTGAGATAAGGATTCCCTGACTTTAAATAGTGCCTAGTCCTCTATAAATGCAGGATCTGAACCTAATATTCCTGGAAGGGAAAAATACATCAAAAAAGAAAGAAATGCAATGATGATACAGCATTCATCCAAAATTTGGAGATAATCTCCTTTGTTCTAATATCTTGGAGTTATTGATATATTTGTAGGAAGTAACAGAAGTAACCCAGACAAACTGAATATTTTCATCAGGGTAGTCTTTAAGCACAGGTAGCATATATGGAGAGCCAAATTTAGAATAAGAAATATTGGGTTGTTGGAAAAGTCATGACTCATGTTTGCGACAGATGGCACTAGTTCATTTTTGGAAGTACTACAGTCATTCACATCTATGTTATTGCTATGTCATTTGACAGCGGATAGTTCTAGCTTCATTTTTAAAAAAAATTGAACATTTGGTTGAGTTTTGGAGATTTTACAACAAGTTGAAGATGGAAGACCAAACTGCATTTTTGCCATATTTTACTGTTTTACTTCCATAAAAGGAAGAACATGTGTCAAACTTGTGAAAAGTTGCATAAAGTTTATGGTAACAATGCTCGACAAGAACGTCAGTGCCAACAATGGTTCATGAAATTCCATGCTGGGGATTTTGATCTCAATGACGCTCCTCGGTCAGGGAGGCCCACCGAGGTTGATGATGACAAAATAAAGGTATTGATCAAGTCAAACCCATGTTACATGACATGAGAGATTGCAGAAACATTGAACATCCATCATTCAAGCATTCATGACCACCTGAAGAAGCTGGGATACGTAAGCAAGCTCTATATTTGGGTTCCACATGAACTCAAAGAAGTTCATTTGACAGCGCGTATAAACATCTCCAATATGCTCATTCAACGTGAGGAAACGATCCTTTTTTGAAGCGACTGATAACTGTGATGAGAAGTGGATTGTTTACAACAATGTGGTGCACAAAAGGTCTTGGTCCCAATGTGATGATTCGCCTCAAATTACATCGAAAGCAGACATTCATCAGAGGAAGTTTATGCTCCCAGTGTGGTGGGATTATAAAGGTGTCATGTTTTTCGAGCTCCTACCAAGGAACCAAACAATCAATTTGAATGTGTACTGTCAGCAATAGAACAGTTTGAATGAATCCATCATCCAGAAACGTCTAGAGCTTGTTAATTGTAAAGAAGTTGTGTTCCTTCGCGACAATGGAAGACCACACACAAGTTTGATCACCCGTCAAAAATTATTGGAGCTTGGATGGGATGTATTGCCACACCCACCATACTCACCGGACCTTGTGCCATCAGACTTCCACTTGTCTTGCTCTCTTGAAAACTCCTTGCATGGTATAATGTTCAATTCAGATGAGGCTGTATACCAGCACTTTGGTCCATTTTTCGCAAATAAAGACAGGCCCTTCTATGAACAAGGAATTATGAAGCTCACTGAAAGATGGCAAAAGGTTATCAAACAAAATGAGCAATATATCATTGATGGATCTTTGTTCTTTATATAAATAAATGACCTTTGAAAAACACAGACAAAATACGTCATGACTTTTCCAACAACTCAATAGTACTAAAACAAGCTATGGTCCCATCCTAAAGCATCATTCTACCTTGTCAAATGGCTGCTTTCTTGAAATTATTGGATAAATAATGGAAGAAGATTTTGGCTATGCAATTCCAAATTCTTATACTGTTCTCTTTTCCTCAACTTTGGTCTTAAAATTTTTATATCTGCCTACTCAGTAAGGATTCTTTACTCTCTCGAACTCTGCTCCTCCATCTTCATATCTGACTCGGCAGCATAGCTTCTTCATCACATTAGTTTTTCATAGGCTTTCATTATGTCACTGAAGATATCCTGCCTCATATTGTTATTGAATGTTTCATGTGCATAACTGGACTATAAGTTACAATACTGCCTGGTATCACTTATATGTGGAATCTAAAAAATAAAAAGCCAATTTTATAGAAACAGAGAATAGAATGGTGGTTGCCAAGGCTGGGAGGAGAGGAAAATGAGATGATGTAGGTCAAAGGGCACACATTTTTAGTTATAAGTAGAAAAAGTTCTGAAAATCACATGTGTAGTATTGTGACTATAGTTAATACATTATTGTATTCTTGAGAGTGGCTCAGAAGTAGATCTTATGCATTCTCAGCACACACACACACACACACACACACACACACACACACACACACAAAGTTAACTGTATTAACTATGTGAGGTGACAGATGTGTTAATTACCTTGGTCTTGGTAATCATTCCACAATGTATACATACATCAAATCATCACATTGTATGATTTAAGTATATACAATTATATTTGTCAATTACTGTTGCCTTACAGCCGATCCCACGACCACCCCCTCTGCATTAGCCTCATATCCTGTAGTCGAGAGAGTGTCTCGGAAAACTGAGGCCGGATGGAATGATATCTGTAAAGCTCTCTCGGGGGGC